TTTATGAATTTAAACAGAAGCTAATCTTTTCTCTGTTTCATCAGAACATTCTCATAGTTATCTTCTGAATCATTCTTCACTGCAATGTGATTGATGTGAACAGATGCTGATTCATTCTTCAAATAAGAAGACACTGATCTTTCTCTTAATTGAGAAGATGCTGATCTTTCTCTTAAGTGTGAAGACACATAGATTAATCAGCAGTTGAAAGTAATATGTTCTAATCAGTTACAGTTGATGCATACTTCACATTGATATTAATTGACAACTTCTTTGAGAGTGATCTCAGAGATTTAAAAGCCTGTTCAGACAGTGAAGACTCTTGCTTATGTATAGACATTTAAGTCTACTCAATTCATAGCATCTGCATCATTATTATTTCTCAGCATGAGTGTATAAGTTACTGAGATGTAACATCTTCTGTCACTGTTCTGTATACTCTTGAGCTTGATAAGACAGTTATTCATTGTTCAGAGCTGTGTACAGAAGGCTTCATAAGCCTGATCTTCATCTATGCTTATAAGAATCTGTAAGAGTTTGAAAGTTAATGTCTTCTTGAGCATGCTAATCTTCATTCAATTCTCTCAAGATTGATTACCTGCTTGTAGAATCTTGATGTTGAAGTCAGAGATGAATGTTGTAAGAGAAGTGTTTCTCTGTCAGATACTCTATAATCAATCTACTGCTTTCTGTTGCATAGCAGTGTCTCAGAACAGAATATCAAGATATTTCATAATATTATCAGGCATTCACAACACTGATTCACATGCTTTTATTCATGAATGAAACTTCTGTTTCATGTGATCTTTCAATCATTCATTGATATATCAATCTTGATTAATTAATAAACTAATGGCATCTTCATCTACACTCAGTTTCATGAGCATTTCCATTCTTCATGATGAGTAGAGAGTGAGGTTAAAAGTATTGAAATATGTGAAAGCATCTAAGTGTTCTTTCAGCGCTTTTGTATTCGATTCTGTAGGTGTTGAAATCGCGTGGGTTAATCGTTGTTGAGTTGCATGCATATCAGCTATTTGTTGTTATTGTAGTTTCAACATTGCTCGGAGCCACTGTGACACTGTGTCTATGCTCGTGTTCAGAGGTTCTCTCATATTATCATTAGACATGGTTATATCATTTATCAGATATGTGATATCTGTGAAATCTGAAGAAGTGTAATTGTATGAATATCTCATATATCTGAGTGTCAGAACTCTCAAGTCTTTCACTGATATTCTCTTTGTAAGATCTTATTGCGGGGCCAGAGTGACTAGCAAGCAAGCTTCTATCTAAGAACTCAGTGTCTGCTTAACTGTTTGACTGTTTCTCTAGTTCTTATGTGTTTGAATATCTCTTGATGAATAATCATTTCTAATAAGAAGACAATGTGTAGATAATTGTTTCCTAATAAGAAGATGATGAACATTTTTCTAATATAAGAGACCTATGCTGAATAGATCAGTATGATATTGATAGGTCTTATATAACAAAGAGAAAAATATTAAAGAAGGAAAAGAAAGAGAAAGTGTAGAAATCAGTAATCAGAGTGAATATTTATACATGTATGTGATGATGTACACAGTGAAGCTTCAGAGCAGAAGAATCTATACGTGTTCATAGTAGCTGAGAATTGGCGATTGAGAATGGCTGAGAATCAGGGTGTATGTGTTTAATAGTAGAATGGAAGAATCTATGAAGTGAAGTGAAAGAATCTATGAAGTGTAATGAAATAGTCTATATGATTGATCGGGCGCAGCCCGTCACAATCACTCTCAGATCTTTTAAGAGAAATAAATGCAAATCTGTGAAAGAAGAAGTTTCATTCAATTATCTGAAATATCATATGTGAGAAGGCTTTTCTCACACTGAGAGAATGTGTAATAACATTCTCAGTGCTTATTCAATCAGATTGTGATAAATCTTTCTACATTGAGACAGATGCATCTGAATGAGCTATCAGAGACACTCTTCTACAGATGAGTAAGAATAGCAAGCTGCATCTGATGATATATAATAGTAGAAAACTATCAGACACTGAGCTCAATTATTCAGTGCATGAAGAGAAATTACTAGTAATTAAGTATATACTGACATTATGAAATAGATATATCAATAATAAGCATACAACAACAGTGATCATGAATTATAAAAGTCTTATCTATCTATAATTAACAATGAAATCTTTTAAATGCTTAGCATGTTGAATCTCAGAGTTTTAAGTGTATAATCTTAATATCAAATACTGAAAGAAGTCAGACACTGTGATATCTGATGCAATCAGTCACAGACTCAATTTCATGAGTGAGAATTCTGTGAATCAGATATAAGAGAAGTTCATGTTAAACACACTGAGAGAATACAAGAAATCAAAATAAGTGAATACAATGATCTCTTACTTAAAGAATGATAAGATGTTGAATGATAAGTATCTTATAAAAGTAGTAGAAGAGATACTTCTGAACTTCAAGCTAAGAAAATTGAAAAATGATGTTATGCTTTACTGTGATCTAGAATATGTGAAAGCTCTCTATCTAGAATATTTATTTAGATGTGACTTGATAACTCACATGCACAAGGAATTCAGTCACTTAGAAAGCTCTGAACTCATGAGTATACTTGAACTAAGAGTGTACTGATCAAGCATGACTGAGAACATTCAGACATACACTTACAAGTGCCTGAATTATCAGATTGTAAAAGAATCTAAGAAAGAGTTAGAATATGAGAAAGTGCAATATCAGATAAAGTGTATAATACAACTGTTCAAATAATGAGAAATGAATCTCATAGACATATTACTGCAAACATTAAATGAAAATCAATGAATAATCACTGCTATTAATTATAGTACTGACTGATCAGTTGTGAAAGCAGTTTCAGAGATAATAGAAAAGATGATAATAAAGTTTCTATATAATGAGATCTATATTAACTATGAAATATCATATGAGATTCTAACTGATAATGATATAAATCTTGTAGAAGAAGTGATAAGACATTTCATGAGTCAGTTACAGATAAGATATTGTAGAACAATGTCATATCATCTGCAGATAAATGAGAAGATGAAACACTTGAATGAAATCTTGAGCAACATGCTGATGAAATATCTAGTGAACAAGCCTATAAGACTATGAAATGAATATCTCAGACAGGCACTATTAGTAGACTGACCGTGTGACCGTGTCTGGAACCAGGATCAAACTTTACAGTTGTCATGTTGCCTAAAAGCATTACTCCTGATCATGATTTGTGTTCATCACATTGATCTCAAATTCTGTTATTTCAAATATTAAAGATTTCAGATTCACTTTTCAAATAAAAATCTAGTCTCAGATAAAGAATATATTTGAATTCTTAGTCACATTTTCATTCTGATCTCATTATTGAAAATGACATCAAATGAGATCATGAAATCATTTCTCACTTACATAATATTATAACATAGTGCTCATTTGTTGAAAATTCAACAGAGAGTGTTATCAAATATTATTACTTTTCTAAACACAGATTATAATTAATATCATTTTAATTAAAAAAAAAAATCTAAAATACAAAAAATAACAAAAAAACAAAAAATAAAATAATAAGAAAAAATCACAACAAAAAGAAAAAAAAAAAAAAAAGAAAAAGAAAAAAAGAAGAGAAAGAAAAAAAGAGATAGAAAGAGAAAGAAAAATAAAAAAAAAAAAAGAAAAGAAAAAGAAAAAAATAAAAAATAAAAATAAAAAAAAATCAAGATCACAGAGCTACAGCATCTCTAAAATACTCACTTCTCAGAGTCTTTACAATATTCATTATCAACTGTGTATCTCTTATAGTGAGAGTAATACAGTCATGATGAGTCATTATCTTAATATTATCTAATAAATAATCAGTATATATCTATATAAATGTGAATAATTAGAAAATATACACTTAAAAAGTGTGATCAGAGTGAACTCTGCTGTTACTTGAATAATATCAAGAATAGAACACTGGAATTGATAATTCCTCTTATTGATTTCATAGACAAGATATATGAAGATGATCTTGAGAAATATAAGATTTTCTGACTTCTGATAGAAATGAATCTCATGAAGAGACTCTATTTTCATCATATCAGAGACTGAGTATTATTAAAAAGCATTACTTCAATGCACATGCACTTACTGTGATGATTCACTCTCTGTGCATGTGACTGAGAGTTGTGGCTTTTTCATGCTGTATGACTCTCTCTGAGATGCTGCTGCTGGTTTACAACTCACGCAGTCTCTCAGTCCAGCACACGCTGTGTATATACAGTCCTGTGTGCTGAGACTGTGTTGGTCATTATGACCTGATGTGATACTTGCTTTTCACAGGCCATGTTTCATTTGATTGAGAGAGAAGAGAGGACACAACTGCTGTTTTATTTAAGAGAGAATGAATAATTGAATCTGTAAAAGATAATTTGATTTCTTCTGTATTTGAAATTTAATTAGTCTATACTCTTCAATTTGAGAGTTTCTGAGAGTGTTTTAATAGTTTTCATATCAGCTTGAAATTAGTGATTGATTGAAGAAGAGAAAAGAGAGAAGAAAGAAATGAGAATAACTTATCTTTATAATATGAAAACAGAGAATTGCTGCAATCATTTGTTCTAGTAACAAAGATCTGTTTTCTGCATGTATCTCTGATACAGATTATATAATAACTGTATATGAAGAATATTAACAGTGTATGTATTGAATGAAGATAATGTTGCTATACAACACTATAGCTGTTTCTGTACATTGCTGAAAGCTGTTAATATTTTCTTTGAGTCTCTTTATATTTGATAAGTCAGTAATATATTTCAATGCACTTCTTCTTTCATCATTATCATTATCATCATCACTATTACTATCATCACTATCATTATTATCATTATTATCATCATCATCACCATCATTATCATTATTATTATTATTATTATTATATTATTTCTAGTCATCTCTTCTGCCTTCATCTCTCTTCAATACTCACTGAAATTAATCATGTCATTTCTCTTCAAATATTCTGCAGTTCTGCAGATCATCAAGGTGTGTGAGTACTATTACAGATTGAAGAGAGAGAAGAAGAAGACATTTAAGTAAGAAGAGACAGATTGTAAGACATATTATGATATCTTGAAGAGACTCTGTAAGAGAGTAGAATAATAACAATTTTAAGTAACACTTCTGATAGATTTAGACTGAACTAAGTATAGAAATAATGTGAATGACATCACCTGTGAGAAATTGAAGAAGAAGACAGTGAAGAGCCTCATGCAGCAGTGATGAAATCAGAAGAAGTCTTAAGAATGATTTGAGACTAAGATGAAGAGAGAAAGAGAGAAGAAGAGTGTTACTGTAAATAAGTAATAGTAGAAGAAGATTGAGAGAATGTTGAAGTAGAAGATAAAGAAGTCAAAACTAGTAAGTTTTTTATTTATTAAGAGATAATGATTTTTAATAATACTTCTGTTCTCTAATTGATTAGCAGAAGCTGACAGAGAAGAAGAGAATTGAGATCTTATTCAGGTCTTGAATATGCTTCATAATTCAGAATATTGAGAAGACAGCCCTGCTCTCTGAGTATGTCAATCTGCTTGCTGCTGAGATGAAACCCGAGACAGCAGACCAGAAAATGCAGGATTTTGAGGCACAGGTTGACCTGGCTGAGAGAGAGCAGTGAGAACCCTTCTCTGAGAAGGCAGCAGAGAGAGATTTTGAGATGATTATCATCTCAGATGAGAAGAAGAAGAAGAAGAAGAAGAATGAGAAGTGAATTATGAAGAATGATAAGAAGAATGAGAAAGAGAAGAAAGATAATGAGTAGAAAAAGTTTTTTTCTTTTTATATTAATTAGTTATAAGTTCATAATTATTAATAATTGAAATTAATTTTGAGTTATTAAAAATTATTGTACAAGTTGTAATCAAGTCAGAAACAATATATATATATATATATATATTTAACTATCATGATTCACAAATCACTATAATGTATAAGTATCAACATTTTTTCAACATTGATATTCACAATATTAATATATTTTTAATAATATCATCTGATAATATAATTTAGTAACACTCTCTTTCACAATATTAATATATTTCAAGAAATATGATAGAGATTAATCAAGATTGTTTATTTACTTTTATACATTGATAATATTCAATCTGAGTTAGTACTAAAATTATAACTAAGCTAAGAAACAAGATTATTTTCTCTTATATTAATTCTTCTTACACATATCAGTGATCAGTTATTGAAAATAAATTATTATCTTTCTCAAATTATTATCATATCTTCTGAATTCACTTCTTTCACTTCTTTTACTTCTATTGAAGATTCACAAACTCTTCAAGAAATCACTATAAATTATAAAATCTATGTTGTTTACAATTCAACACAGAATGCTCTCTTTTAATTATAATGAATAATCACTTCATTCTTCACATCTGATTCCAGGTCACAAAATTTATGAAAAACTCAACACAAACATTGAGATGAACTATGGAATAATTATCAACAGATTGTATTGCAGATTACTGAAGAGTCATCTCTCTGCTACAATCACTGCAACTTCATTCAGAAACATTCATTATAAACTAATCATAACTTTGAAGAAATTTCTCAACATCTGAAGTCATCAGAATGCAGATAATAAAAGAAAAATAATCAGAAAATTACTACTGAGCTGATAAGTTACTCTATCAGATAACAATTTTTAATAATACTAACTTTCTAATTTGAAGAAAATCATGTAAAAACAATCTCATATCAGTACTCTGATTTCACAACTCTTATCTAATAACTTTCATGAACAATTACTTCACATATGTATATCTCTGAATCTTTCTCTTCAATCAATTGAAAACCTCAAATTCTGAACACTTCTTCAAATGCTTAATTCAAATCTTCATATTTCATATCAATTCTGTCTTCAGTTCAATCTTAAGACACACTACAAAGTTAATATACAATATCTAGAATCAGAGTTGAAGAATCATTGAAGAGTATCTCTCACAGTGAATGCATGAACTAGTATAAACAATCTTACATTTATAAGAGTTATATGTTATTATATTGATGAGAACTGAACTTATTAAGAGATATTAATTAAATTTGAATCATTGATCAGTAGTTATACTGAGGATTATATGACAGAGATATTAATGACTGTGATTAAAAATAACTATTAGAATATTAGTCTCAGTCTTCTTACAATTACAACTGACAATGCTGCAAATAACTACACTATGATGAAGAGCTTAGAGCAAAAATTAACTTTGCATTTCTGAAATGATAAACAAGGTCATATTCTCTGCATTGCTTATATGATTCAACTTATAATACAAACACTGATAAAGAATCTTAATATCAAGACAAAGAATAATGAGATGACTGATTCTTGAGATAAGAATAAGATGAAAGTGATTACTTAAGTAACTTTTGCATTCACTTTGCAAAAGATAATGTTTTTTGATAACACTTTTTAATATTGCTTTTTGATAATACTTTTTAATAATACTACTGTTAATTTTGAATAGATTGACTAATAATTTAAATATCATAGATTTGAAACATTGTTAATATGATTTGTACCTCTTCTAAACAACAACAATGATTTCATAATATTTAACAAACAAACAAATCAGTCACATCACTGAATATAATACAGAATGTTAGAACACAGTGAAGTTTAACATATGAGATAACTGTTCAGACTCTTCAATTGTGTCAGACAATTGATCATTGAGTGCAACACTCTGATTAAGAAAAGATTCAGATATTGAAACTTTCTGATATGAAGTGAACTCAGTTGAAATATGTGATTGATTTACTGTTTCAGTTTTATAAGACAATAAAGACAGTCTCAATAACTTGTACATCAATGCTGCAGTCAGTCTGATGAGTGTATAACAGTTTATTTACTCATCTTGAGAAGTAGTTGAATCACTTAAAAAGAAATTCAGTCTGAGATAATGCTATAGTGCAGGCTATTGTTGCTGTAAGAGATAAACTGGCATATTATTACAGCAAAACAGAACAATCTTTTACAGAGTACTATACTGTAGCAGCTCTACTAGATTTCTCTCATTGAGTTAATATCTACACTTCTCAAGATTGAATAGAGGAGAAATGAGACTCATATGTTAAATTAGCCTGAGACTACTACAATGCCAACTATCAGAGATTTGAATGAGCAGATATTCAAGATGTGAAGACAGTGAAATACAATTCTCTAGTAAGTAACAATCTTTGATAATACTTTATATTACATAGAACTATAATACTAACTTTGAAACAGAACTTGCATACATTGATTGCAACTGAAAATCAGGCAAAACTACATGCTTATAAAACTGAATTTGACTGCTATCTTCAAGATAATCTGATGAATTTACACATCAAATCAATTCTAGAGTTATGAAAAATTGTTGAGAGTACATATTTAACTGTTGCACTGATGACATGTGATATTCTGACAATTTCATTGACAGAGATGAGAATGAAGTGAAAGTTCAACTCAAGTCAAGATATTTATCACTATCACTGAGAACAATTACAAGAAGAAACAATCAAGAAACTCATGATTATAAAACATAGAATTATCAGACAGTTTAATACCTCTGATCACAGTATATCAGAGAAGTGTAGTTTTCATGAGAAAGTGAAGAATAAACTTACACAAGAATGTATTTAGTTGTTTCATGAGTGTTATCAATAATCATTACCAAATTCTGATTATATAAGCAATCACTGAATGAACTGAATGAGACTGATTTTAATCTTCAGTCTCAGTCTCATTCTGATTTTGGAAGAATGATTATCTTTCACAGTTTATTCTGAAAAATTACTTCTATTTCACTGTTCTTGAATTAAATCTGGTCATTTTTCACATCATTTCTCTCAGAAATGATTCATTTTCAGATTTTTTTGAGGCTTGGTCCTGGTGGGACTCACGCCAAGAAATGTATGAGACCAGACCAAATGAGACCAAATGTGAAATTCATGGTCTCGGCGGCCAGTCTAACTATTAGTCATACAGATTCAACAATCTACAGTCTTCAAGCATTCATCATTCTATCTATTATATGAATTACATCCGCGCATTCTAAAGAATGCTTTGAAAAAGATGAAGAAGGAAACAGTGATTGTAAATACAACAGTCACAGATGCAGCAGTTGCAGACACAGAATCAAGATTGAAAGAAATCAGTCATATACATACAAAAGCTAATGAGTTACTTCTGAACTGAGCAATTCAATTAAAAAGAATATGAGACTCACTAGTTAAGAAATTGTGTCTCAAGATAAAAACATGAGTTCTTATATGCAATGAGAGTTCTGAGAAGTTTTAATCTAGATAGTTTAAGTCATATAAAATACTCAAATCATATTCTCTAAAAACATATGCATTGAAAGAATCAGAGGGACAGATCTTATACAACTTAATAAATAATTCATATTTTATAAAAGTAAAGATGTAAGATCTGAGCAGATTATAATTATCTACAGCACTATTATTAGTGTTGAAAAAGAAGAGACTTATAATTAAAAAGTCTCATAAAGTAAGAGAAATTATAGATGCTTATAAATTAGATAATCTCACTTATTCTGATCTTTTCATAATTATAAGAAAAGAATGAGAAGAAATGAAGAAATCAGATGAATATCACACTTCAATAAGTGATGAGACTGTAGCTGATTATATAATAACACACTGCAGATAGCAGACACAATATAATAAAGAGCAGTCTCAGAGTAGCAGACTTACACATGAGTCAGATTACAGAAGAAAAAGAAATTCAGAGTTAGATTCAACTATTTATATTAGTTCAATTACAGAGACAACAGAGAATAAATCATCTGAAACATTCATAGATATATGTGATCAAGTCATCTCAATCTCTGAAGATGCTCAGAGATCAGATGAGATTAGTTTCAATGAGCTGTTCACTGTAGTAATCTAAACAGGTGAAGAGAGACAGTATAATACATAAGACAGAATTATAAAAGATGAAAGCTGCTGAACCTAGTCACTGAACACTGTATTATATAGAGATTGTGTAAGAGTAGTGACTAGCAGATAAAGAAAAAGTGTAAGAAAGAAAAGAGATAATGAATTAATTATCAACTGTAAGAATCAGCTGTAAAAAGACAAATGTTATTATACACATCTTATTCATTTTCATACATTACATATTTAATCTATTTTCAACATCACATCATCTGAAAAACATCAAAAACTAAGAAAATCTCAAAACTCAAGATTCACAAGAGATTTAAGAGCTGCAAGCTGCTCTTGTAATAACACTGTACATATCTCTGATTTCTCTATCACTCTGTATATGACATTAATATCATTTATCACAAGATTGGCTGAAATGTCAATATAGAAATATGTACACATGCATGTAGAAAAATTGAAGAAGAGCATAAAACTCACAGAATCAGAAGTTAAGACAGAGAAGATAAAGATGAAAGAAATAGAAGAAGAAGAAGATGTAGAACTAAATAAATAATAGCAGAAGTCATCTAAGACTGAACACTTATAATCTGATATATACATAATCTTTCTCACAGAAGAGAGAGAGAAAGTGATGAGAGCAGCTTGAAGATAGAAGAAGATAGTCTCAGTAGTGTTATTATTATTATTCTTCAATTATAGATGTATGCAGTCAGA